AAAAAGACTATATTATCCTAACACCCCATTTCTATCTTGTATTTATTATTATTTATATCCCTACCAATTTCTCAGAAAAGTCACAGAAGCAGCTTATCATAGGATATGTGTATTCTATGCCACTGCCACCCCCGGATAAAAACACTAAAGTGATAGCCAGGCATAGTGGCTCACACCTGTACCCTAGCACTTCGTGAAGCTGAAGTGTGAGGTTCACTTGAGGCCAGGAGTTTGAGACTAGCCTGGGCAACATAGGGAGACCCCTCCCATCTCTACAAAAAATTGAAAAATTCATTGAGTGTGGTGGCACACATCTGTAGTCCCAGCTACTCAGGAAGCTAAGTCAGGAGGATCACTTGACCCTAGGAGTGAGGTTGCTATGAGCTATGATGATGCCACTGCACTCTAGCTTTGGCAACTGAGCAAGACCTTGTCTTAAGGCTGAGTTCAAGGCCTGCCTGGGCAATGTAGTGAGACCCTGTTTCTAAATCAACCTGTCACAAAAAAAAGAAAAACAGGACACTAAAGTGATTGTTAATCTACATAGCAGGCAGGAATCAACATTTATTAAAAATTTTACTGCCTATGTATTATGATAGACAACTTGATAAACATCATCTTATAAGTCTCACTGAACACTTTTTGTTCACAAGAGGTTGACAAATTGGATAAAATCAGAATCAGAGACATGACAGGAATTACTGAAAATTTTAATGCATTGCTGTAACCGAGCCCATGAACTCTTGTGGTGAGAAAGCACAAGAAGAATCTTGACAAAGCTACCAGAAATACTTCTTCCCAGCAGAATCCAAAAGAAGAAGAAGTCCTAAATTGATGTTGTAGTCCTAATTCAGGGTTTGAAAACTAATACAACAGGCAAAGTGAAATAAGCAGGCTTTATCTGTGAATGTCTACATAAGAAACAGCCTGCAGGTGAGTTATCTGTAATGGTACAAGGTGCTGCTTCCTCCCTCCAAAGTCCTCATTCCCATCTTCAGAACACCAGAGGAAAGGACAAATGATAACTTGGTCACTTCTTGCCTCTCCGCTTATCCTTGTCTTTGCCTTTACCTTTTGTATCCTTGTTATCATCTTTGTCCCTTGGCAGTCTGAAACCACCAATTTCCCTCCGTACCACAGTGCCTCGCCACCAGGCCTGGAGCTGGAAGACAAAGGGGGAGTGAGTACAACTCACACCTGACAAACTGCATTCTTTCCACATATCGGATAAGGTAACTTCTGTCTGAAGAATGTTCTCTGTCTTAAGGCATCACATCTAGAAGCTAAGAACAAAAGAATGGCCCTCTCTGGGATGTAAAAGTGGCCGGGCAGTTAAAACAGTACAGTGATGTGTATAGGACACACAAAGGGCTTAGGCTGTGGATGCAAGAATGTTATCAAGGAGTGAAAATTTAAAAAAGGAATTAGATGAGACCAATTTTTCCTTCGTACTTAGGGACGTGACTTCCACATTCTGCTTCCCTTTTTGAGGGTACAGGTTCCCCATACCTAATAACCAGCTGATTCCAAAGTAATATATATATAGACCAAAGACAAAAGCAAGCACTTAGTCAAAAATGCACAGATAAGTCTAGATGACTTCGGGGAGCTTGCTGGTGCATGTCATATCTTTAGTGATTGATTAGACGGTCAATTCCCTTACTTTAAAAAAGGATTTATCTCGGTTGTTAGATAACAACTGCTCTCAATACAGTCCAGGCTACTTTAAAATCAGACTAAGCCCTAATGATTAGTAAAGCAAATCTACTAGTAAAAAGAAAACAAAAGTGATCTTCAGCTAGTTCTTACATTTGCACTAAATCCAGGAACCTTGACAAATGGAAAATACCATAGAAGCTTGATAAATACTTACATATATACCTGACACACCTCCTAACAGAAAGCTCAAACTTGGTTTGGGTACCTACCTGGTCCTAAATGTACTTTAAAATTTGCTTTTTCAGTACACCTCCCAATATACAAACCAAACTACCCACTAGGGTCTCAGTCTTTCGAAGGGCCATTCTCCAGGCAACAGTTTCAGTTCAGCTGACATTATTTTTGCATTACAGTCAGCTGACATTATTTTTGCATTACAGTTTTGCTTGAAAATACAGAACCTTTGTAAGGTGACCCAAGGGACTGTAACAAACTGATCAACATGTGGAGGCCTTACTGTACTATTAACCTACATGTGGGGCATGTCTGGGCTATGAAAATTAGCTCAACTTAAGGAGGTGGTCAACTATGAAGGTTCTGCAGTATTTCATATCCTCTGGGACCTACAAGTTTCATGATGACTAATGTACCCAAGTTCACATAAAATTAAAATCTATTTTTGTCTAAGCTGCTGCTTATCCCTTCTACCTTTTTTATAAGCAGCTTTTATCTGAACTCAGCAGATAGTATGGCCTGATTTATAAATAGGATTTTTAAGAAGCAGTAAGATATTAAAAAGAATTGTTCTGTCAAGAGCTGGTTTGAGTTAGAAATAGTAGTCTCACATTTGACCTCTGGACCTAGGTTTTACCTCCATTACCAACCACCTCTTCCACATTAAGAGCAGGGGGTATGGTGGCACCTGTGGTTCAAAGGAGTAGGGCACCGGCCCCATATGCCAGAGGTGGCAGGTTCAAACCCAGCCCCAGCCAAAAACTGCAAAAAAAAAAGAGCAGGGGGTATGTGCTTGTCTATGTTCACTGTCTCCCTGCACTATGGACTGCATTGGCAAATTGCAATAATAACAAAAGGCCACACGTCCTCACAAATCTCCTGTACTGTGGTAGACTGCTCTGTATTTGGCACATGAATGAGGAATGCTTCACACTTCTCAGCGTTAGGCCATTTATGGCACTGATTATAGTTTTCTACCTTTATGATGCTTCTTAATTCCAAGAGATCCTGCTCTATCTTCTTCCTGCTCTTCTCCTTTTCTATACGATCTTCGATGATGACCTGTTCATACTCCCTTATCTGCAAAAGTAGACATTAATCATATGTCACAGTACTCTCTTGGCAGAACTGGAGCCCAGCCAGCCCTGCACTTTTAATATAAAATCTAAAAATAAAACATGCTAAATCTGGCTTGGTGCCCATAGTTCAGTACTTAGGGTGCTGGCCATGTGGACTGGGGCTGACGAGTTTGAACCCAGCCAGGGCCTGCTAAACAACGACAACAACAATAAAAAACAATAGCCAGGTGTTGTGGCAGACACCTGTAGTCCCAGCTACTTGGGAGGCTGAGGCAGGAGGATCACTTGGACCCAGAAGTTTGAGGTTGCTATGAGCTCTAATGCCATGGCACTCTGCG